CCCCCCTGCCCAGCCCAGGAGTGACTCCTCCCCCCCGCAGCTCGGTCTATCATCACTCCACAGACAATAACCACTCCACCACTGTTGGTCAACACCCGGTGATATTCCTGCCTTCCATTTTGTATATATATTATTGCACCTCTGTTAGCACTGTAAATAAATTCACTACTTGCACCGAAGCCAGCCGCCTGGGTCTGTTAATTCTCTGCTCGCTCACAGTTGTGTCGAGCGACCGTAACAGAAGCACGGTTATATTTTTTATATACTCAAGTGGTCCGTTTCGTCTCTCTGAGTTCCTGGTTGAAAAGGACTGGGCAATATCTTTCAGCCCCTTCTGCAGTTGTGGGCACTTCCTCTGCCCTGTGATTTAAAGTTCTGACGACTTCCTCCTGGGTCCTGATTTCACTGGCACCGCTCCCAGCCACTGGTTCCGCTACATGGATGACACATGGGTTAAAATCAGGACCCAGGAGGTGGAGGCTTTCACCAAACATATCAACTCTGTGGATGACAACATCAAATTCACTCGTGAGGACGCCAGAGATGACTGTCTGGCCTTTCTGGATTGTGCAGTCCTCTTGGGAGGGGACAGAAGCCTGAAGGTAGAAGTATATCGGAAACCTACACACACGGACCAATACCTGCTTTTTGACTCACACCATCCACTTCAACACAAACTGGGAGTCATCAGAACTTTAAGACAAAACACCCAGACATAAACAGAGTGATGTGGTGTATGCAATTAAGTGTAGTCAGGAGTGTAACGACTTGTACATTGGTGAAACTAAGCAGCCGCTTCACAAACGCATAGCCAACACAGGAGGGCCAACCTCCATGAACCAGAGTCAGCAGTCCACCTTCACCTGAAGGACATAGGACATTATTTTGAGGACAGTGAAGTCCAGATCCTCTTCAGAGGACATCGCTGGTTTGAGAGAGGAGTTAAGGAAGCTATTTTTGTAAAAATAGAACACCCCTCATTTAATAGGGGTGGTGGACTAAGACACAACTTGTCATCCATCTACAACCCTGTTTTGAGATCTCTGCCCAAACATGCCCACCAGGACAATAGGTGTCGGTCGACAGGGGAGGTTTCAAAGACAGGTAACGACTCTCACCGATACTGGGCTATAACAACTCAGTCGTTAAGGGGCATTGTTGGCCGTCAAAGAACTGAAACACCACCGAGGGGGATAAATATCTCTGGCTCAACACCAGTCAGTCAGAACTGACGAAGCCTCTTGGATGGTGAAACGTCTTCGATCTAGAAATCTAAGTCCAGTTGATTTTTTTCTAAGGTTTTTTTCAGTTACTATGACCTGGATGACTGAGAATCTGCACAGACATATCTTAACTCTGCCAGCTCCCCATGCTCCTGCTGACTGACCTGAGCCAGGAGCTGAGTCTTCTCCTGCAGCTTGGCCTCGTAGTGCTGTGTCAGCCGCTCCAAGGCTTGGGTTTTGCTCTCCTCTGCAGACTTTAGCTGGTTCTCATAGTCCTCCTGCATCCTTTGATGTTTATGCTGAAGATCCTGGTACCGTTCATGTTCCACAATCAGTTTCTGGCTGTAGGATAACTCTGTGCATCATAAATAGACAGCCAGGAAATCCACTGATAATCAATGCAGAAGTTACAGTACTACTACAGACAGAGGCACGGTAGCGTTTTTTTCAGGTTTGGGGCTTTAAACAAACAGATCGACTGCTCCTAGCAGAAATAAAGATGCACTGTCCCTGTGTTGCATGGACATTGGTTCTGTCATCTTCTTACCTAAATCCTTCAGTTCTTTGGAGTGTTTCACAGTCACCTCTGCAGAACTCTCCTGGTACTCATGCTCCTGCTTTTCCATCTCTGTCGCCATAGCCTGTAGATACACTACTTGTTATGAATAGACAATAAAGGCCTTCAGTTATACAATTAATTGAAAAAGCAAGAGCAACCTTGTGTGCTAACTCAATAGTGGCATATACCGTAAATTCTGCAAATAGGTATCCTACATCATTTCATAAAAATTCTTTAAAAACATACCATCACAAAGTAATGAAGTAATGTTCATAGAAGCAACTGAGTCACAGTGATTAAATGCAGGTATTGTTGTGTTCAGCTGGATATTTTGACCTTAAACTGTGACTTAAGAAATAAATACTAAATGAACTGGGTTATGTTTGGAATAGAGCTTTGTGACAGGTAGCCAGCAGACCTGCTGTGCAGCTTTCAGAGACTCAATTTGCTGGGTGAACTTATCGGAAGTCTCTTTTATCTTCTCATTGTAGCTCATGTCTTTCAGGCGGAGCTGGTACTCGTTCTCCATCTGCAGCTCCTCCAGGTGCATCTTCAGCTCCAGCATTTGCTGCATCTGCCATGCACATAGACAGGAACATAGAACTGGATTATTATGTTGAATGCTAACTGTTAGGTAATTGTATTTTTTTTTGTATGTCAACTATCAAACTAAATGAGACCAAGTGACGCTAATATCAAGTAAAAATTATATTTAAATGCTTTTCTGTGCAGTATTGTGTGTATTTACAAAACAAACACATATGCAGCATCTATTCCTAACCACAGTGTGATGGCAAATTCTTCCAGTATTCTGGTTTTGACACTGTGGACACTGTATACAGTTTTGACAGTGTATTCTTCTGGAAAGGCTGGAACCATGGGTGGGATTAACAAGCATAGCAATGAGCTGGTTCAGATCACATCTGGATAATAGAGACTTTTTTGTATCTGTCGGGAACTATAGCTCTGAATGGATCGACTCAAGAGTCAAGACTACATCTATTAAGGTCAATCTCAGGTGAGAAACTTGGGTGTCTTAATTGACTCAGATTTGAGTTTTAACAGTATTATTACGGCCCTAACAAGAACGGCTTTTTATCAACCTAAAAACACTATGAGATTCAGAGGTTTCATGTCCAGAGATGATGCAGAGAAACTCACTTGTGCTTTCATCACCAGTAGAGTGGACTACTGCAACTCTCTTTTAACTGGTCTCCCTTATAAGACTATTAAACAGCTACAGCTTATCTAGAACAATGCTTCTAGAGCTTTAACTAGAACTAAAAGAACTGAACACATCACCCCTGTCCTGAAATCACTGCACTGGCTACCAAATAGCTTTTTAAGTACATATATTAGTTTATGCTGTTACTTTCGGCTTTTCCCTTTTAGGGGTCGCCACAGCAAATTGTCACACTGACGACTCGCATGTTGACATTTGGCACGTGTTTTATGCTTGATGCCCTTCCTGACGCAACCCTGATTCAAACCCGGGCCGCAGCGGCAAGAGAGCTGCGCCTTAACCACTAGCCTACCAGGGACGGCTACATGTTAGTATATAAATCTCTTAATGGTCTGGCACCAAAATATACTGCATCTCAACCCTCCTTGAAATATACCTACCAATCAGAGCCCCTAAATCTGCTGAAAGTTATCGACTGTTTGAACATCGAGTCTGTACTAGGGGAAAGGAACAAATTCCCCATGGAGGTAAAACAAGCCTCTAATCTGGCCACATTTAAGATTAAACTCAAAATACTGCTGTTCCCTCTCATGCTTTTGAGTAAATCAAGTTATGACTTTTTATTGTTTTTATTTGTCTTTTAACTTTTATATTATGGTGTTACCTTATGTGTATGAAAGGTGCTCTATAACTAAACTGACCTTGACCTTGAAAGAATAATTGTCCACAGTTCCCCTATACTGTGTATGACCTCAAGGGTCCTGGTTCAGTTCCACCAGCTGCAGGAGCCTTCCTGTGAGAGTCTGCATTTCGCCTGTGTGGGATTCCTGAGGATGCTGTGGTTTTCTTACACAGTGAAAAGACATGCAGCTTAAGTGATTCTCTGACTCTATATCATCCTTAGGGATATGAGTGTGAATGGTTGAATATGTACACACACACACACACACCTATACATACACACACACACACACACACAGTACAGAAAGAAGGTGTGACTGGCTACAGGTGCAGGACAGAAAACAGGAGAGGTTGTCCACTCACTGTATTTGGCAAGCTCCAATATTTTCTTTAACTCATGCAATATTTTGATCTGGTGATGAGCATAGCCTCATATTGTAGCAGGCAAGTCATACCACACACAGCCTCAGCTATACTGATATTGGAAAAGTTAAACCCTTAGTGTCTTGGAGCAACAACATCCCTAGAATGAAAGATAGTGGATAAACGTATATGGTATGTATATTAAAACTCTGTGTCACCCCCGGATTAAATGAGGACTTTCACTATAAAATTATAAAAACAATAAACACTAAATGTAATGCCCTTTATCCTTTCCTTGATGATATGTTTCCCCCTGGTGTCCAACCTAGACCACTTCCCATGTATATTGTAAAAAGTATAAAAATGTATTACCTATGTCCTGTATGGGCTAGAGTCCTTCTGTTGTGACATTATATATTTTTTCTATACATAGCAAACTGACAGGGACATTATTTTGTACCATGTGATCTTCTTTTTGTAGGTGGCAGTATAGTGCAGTATGCATTTTGGGCTTGAGCTAATTAGAATTTCACTAGCTTGTTAATTTTAGAATGCAGACAAACCCACTCCTTTTCCTGTGTCTACATGTGTCAGCACTGTGCATGCTGGGATAAGTCCCACCCCCCTTGGACCCTGACCAAGGTAAATGGAAAAATGGTATGCACTTGGTAAATAAAAACTACTGGTTGTCACATACATGTTAATATACTGACCGTCTGTTATCTCAGCTAGATTATCTTGGTTAAAAGGAGCAGTTATTAAAATGGTAAACCGAGAAAATGATGTCCCTAACAAAATCCAAATGTCATGTTTAGAATACTCCAGTGGTGCTGTCTTTGATACTTTGATCTAAATATCAATAAGTTCAATGCTGATTAGGGAAATGCATCTTCAGGTACTGTATCTATAGCTATGGGTTGTCACGGTGTGATGCATCAGGTATAGCCTATATCACACTATGTAGTCTGTGGAGTCCAACTTTTCATGTGTAAAATGGCCTAATCCTGACACACACAGACCTTTTCCTCCAGGTCTGACTTAGTGGCAAGGATCTCTTCAGTGTGGATGATCTGCTTGCTGCTCTTCAGTCCTCGACCCTCCTTATCAATGATTTTCCACATCAACAGACAGCTGTC